GCCATTTAGTGATTTATAGACCAGTAATAATACTTTAAAATCTATTCTGAATGTAACTGGCAGCCAGTGTAGAGACCTGAGGACAGGTGATGTGCTCTGATTTTCTGGTTCTGGTTAGAATTCTGGCTGCAGCGTTCTGGATGAGCTGCAACTGTCTGACTGTCTTTTTAGGAAGACCAGTGAGGAGTCCATTACAGTAATCCACCCTGCTGCTGATAAAAGCATGAACAAGTTTCTCTAAATCTACACTAGAAACAAAGCATCTGATTCTTGCTATGTTTTTGAGATGATAGTATGCTGATTTACTGACTGCTTTGACATGACTGTTAAAACTCAGATCTGACTGCAAAGTCACACCAAGATTCTTGACCTTATTTTTTGTCGTTTGACCTTTAGTGCCAAGGTACGCATTTACCTTGAGAACCTCATCTTTGTTTCCAAACACAATCATTTCAGTTTTCTCTTTGTTTAACTGAAGAAAGTTTTGGCACATCCAATTGCTCATTTCATCAATGCACTGGCAGAGGGTGTCAATGGGGCTGTAGTCATTAGGCACTAAGGCTAGGTAGATCTGAGTGTCATCAGCATAGCTGTGGTAGGAGATTTGGTTCTTTCTCATTATTTGGCTCAGAGGGAGCATGTAAAGGTTGAACAGGAAAGGGTGCCAGAATCGAGCCTTGTGGGACTCCACACGTCATGGGTGTCCACCTCGACCTATGGTCACCTATACTGACATGGTAACCTCTACCTTCAAGGTAAGATCTAAACCATTTGAGGACCGTGCCAGACAGCCCAACCCAGTTTTCCAGCCTATCCAGAAGTATGCTGTGATCGACAGTGTCAAATGCAGCACTGAGATCCAACAATACCAGCACTGTTATTTGACCTGAATCTGTATTTAGGCGTATATCATTGATTATCTTTATAAGAGCGCTCTCTGTACTGTGATGTGCTCTGAACCCCGATTGAAAATTGTCTAAACACCCCCTGAAGTTTAAGAACTTGTTAACCTGGTTAAAAACAACTTTTTCAATGATTTTGCCATTGAAAGGGAGATTTGAGATTGGCCTGTAATTGCTCAATAGGGTGTTATCCAGGTTGCTCTTCTTCAAGAGGGGTTTAACAACTGCAGTTTTAAGTGAGTTTGGAAAAATCCCTGAGAGAAGTGAATCATTTACCACTCTTAGGAGATCCATTTCTAAACAGGTAAACATTTACGGAAATTAATGAGCATATTTGAGAATTAACATGAATATATGGGAATAAAAGGGATATTTACCGGAATTAATGAGCAATATATGGGAATTAACATGAATATATAAATGGGATATTTATGGGAATTAATGAGCAATATATGGGAATTAACATGAATATATAAAAGGGATATTTATGGGAATTAATGAGCATATTTGGGAATTAACATGAATATATGAGAATAAAAGGGATATTTACGGGAACTAATGAGCATATTTGGGAATTAACATGAATATATGGTAATAAAAGACATATTTATAGGAATTAATGAGCATATTTTGGATTTAACATGAATATATGGGAATTAAGGGGAATTATTTGGAATTAATGAGTATATTTGGAAATTAACATGAATATATGAGACTTAAGGGGAAATTTATAGAAATTAATGGGTGTATTTGTAATTAACAGGAAATGTATGGACATTTATGATACATTTGGGAATTAACATGAATATATATGGAAAAATATAGGAATAAACTGTGAATTTGGTAAACCAAAGGTTAGCCTAAGACAGGTTATTTAATTGTAATTGAAAAAAATATCTTACTGCATAAGTTTAGATATATACTGTTCAGCCTCATTTAGGTGTGGTAAAATAGCGCTAAACACAAATATCAATGTAAAAAAAGCTCAAATAATAAAACGATGTAGAAGAAACCGGTTTAACCAAAACGCTACATCTCACTACAGGACTCTGAATTAAAAACGGAACTGAAAGCAGTTCAAATCAGTCATCAAATTAGACATAGACAAATAATCGCTGTAGTTAAAGCTCAAATAAGCCAACATTATCATCATAAAAAAGATTTTAAAAGTAGCTTTGACAAAAAAAATCTACATTTTACTTGTGATTAGATCACAGATCAAATAAACAACACAAAAAAAATCAATTTCTGTACAAACTACAGCTTTAGAAACTGAATATGTGTGTATGCGTGTCTCAAAACTGTTCAGCCTACATTTTGAGTGATAAAACAGCGTCAAACACAACTATCAATTTAAAAAACAGCTTAAAAAAAACATCATTAACGTAAAAAAGAAACAGGTTTAACCTGTTTTAACCTAAAATCTGCATTTTACTACTGTACTCAGTTCAAACAGTCATTAAAATAGACATTAAAATAGAAAAAGCTCAAAATAAACAAACATCATCACCATCATGAAGATAAAACAGAAGCTTTCACTAAAAATCTACATCTCACTTCACAATAAAGCCCTGAAAACAGTTCATACAGTGATTAAAATAGACATTAAATTGAAAAAAAAAAAAAACTAAAAATAAACAACATCACCACAATTATAATGTACAAAACAAACGTTTAACCAGAAATCTGCATCTCAATACTGGACTCTGATTAAAAAGTGGCACTGAAATCAGTTCACACAAGCTTTCACTTAAAATTCAAATCTCACAACTGAATTCTGAATTAAAATAGCACTAAAACCTGTACAATAGTCACTAAAATAGATATTAAAATAAAAAAAACCTCAAAATAAACAAACACCATCAACATAACGAAGACAAAACTGAAGCTTTACCTAAAAATATACATGTCCCTTCACAAAAAACAGCACTGAAATCAGTTCATACAGTCACTAAAAGCTATATGAACATTATGAACATGAACACTAAAGCTGAAATAAACAAACAATCGCCATCATCAAGATAAAACAGAAGCTTTAACTAAAAATCTACATCTCACTTCACAAAATTAACACTGAAAATAGACATTAAAATAGAAAAAGATCAAAATAAACAAACATCATTACCAACATTAATGTACAACAAAAATGTTTAACCAGAAATCTGCATCTCAATACTGGACTCTGAATTAAAAATAGCCCTGAAATAAGTTCAAGCAGTCACTAAAATAGACATTAAAATGACAAAAATCTCAAATAAACAAACATCATGAATATAAAACGAAAGCTTAACTAAAAATCTACATCTTCACTGAAATAGCCCTGTAATCAATTTATAAAGTCATTAAAATAGACATTAAAATAGACAAAGATCAAAATAAAAAAAACATCATCACCATCATTAATGTACAAGATACAGGTTCAACCAAAGATCTGCATCTTACTAATGGACCCTGACTTAAAAGTAGCACCGAAATCAGTTCAAACAGGCATTAAAATGGACATTAAAATATAAAAACGTCCAAAAATAAAATATAATAACCATCATAAAGATAAAACAGAATCCTTAACTAAAAATCTACATCTCTCTTCACAATAAGGCCCTGAAATCAGATCAAACAGTGATTAAAATGAACATTAAAATATAAAAAGCTCAAACAAACAACATAATCACCATCATGATGTAAAAGAAATGGGTTTAACCAAAACTCTGCATCTCAATACTGGACTCTGAATTAAAAATAGCTCTGAAATGAGTTCAAACAGTCACTAAAATAGACATTAAAATGACAAAAATCTCAAATAAACAAACATCATCATCATGAATATAAAACATAAGCTTAACTAAAAATCTACATCTCTCATCTCACAAAAAAACAGCCCTGAAATCAGTTCATAGAGTCAATAAAAATAGACATTAGAATAGAAAAAGATCCAAACAAACAAACATCATGACCATCATTAATGTACAAGAAACAGGTTTGATCAAAAATCTGCATCTTACTAATGGACCCTGACTTAAAAGTAGCACCGAAATCAGTTCAAACAGGCATTGAAATATAAAAACCATCATTAAGATAAAACCAAAGCTTAACTAAAAATCTACATCTCTCACCTCACAAAAAATAGCCCTGATATCAGTTTATACAGTCATTAAAATAGACAAAGATCAAAATAAATAAACATAATCACCATCATGGTGTAAAAGAAATGGATTTAACCAAAAATCTGCATCTCAATACTGGACTCTGAATTAAAAATATGGAAAAATCTACAAATAAACAACATCATCGCCATCCTTAATATAAAACAAACAGGTTTAACCAAAAATACGCATCTCACTACTGAATTCTGAATATAAAATAGCATTGAAATAGATTCATACAGTCATTACATAGAAATAAAATAAAAATTAAAAAATAAACAAATATTATCAGCATAACGAAGATAAAACTGAAGCTTTAAATACAAATCTACATCTCACATCACGAAAAATAGCCATGAAATCAGTTCATACAGGCATTAAAATAGACATTAAAATATAAAAAGCTCAAATAAACAACATAATCACCATCATGAAGTAAAAGAAATGGGTTTAACCAAAAACTCTGCATCTCAATACTGGACTCTGAATTAAAAATAGCCCTGAAATCAGTTTATAGTCACTAAAAATAGACATAAAAATGACAAAAGCTCAAATAAACGAACAGCATCACCACCACCATCATCATTATGAAGAAAAAACAGAAGCTTTCACTAAAAATGTACACTTTACTTCACAATAAAGCACTGAAATCAGTTTATACAGTCATTAAAATGGAAAAAGCCTAAATAAACAAACAGCATCACCCTATCACCATCATCATGAGGATGAAAGAGAAGCTTTGACTAAAAATACATCTCACATTTTGAAATTCTGCGTAAACAAATTTGACTTTAAGCAAATAATACACTCATTAAAACAGAGCCACAGGACTGTATGTGGCTGTAGAGCAACATGTTTAAGTGTTTATCATAAACCCGAGTCAGACAGCAGCTGACAGGTGCTCGCTGGGTTAAATGTGATGCTGTTCCTCGCACACAGATGTTCTTGATCTTACCTCTGCGATGCCTCGAAACGAGCTCTGAAACCGCGGATCATCCCAGCAGCACAAACCCAACACGAGGACGCATTTTATCCTCCGTTTGTGCCTGTGTTTTTCTGCTCCGCTAACGCTTATTTTGGCCCATTCCTGTGTCTGTGACGTGCACTTCCGGTGTCGCTCCGCCAGCAGCAGGAATTCAGATCCGATTCATTCGACTTGTTTAATTAAACGTAACGTTAAATCAACCGGAGAACGACGGTGTAAATAACAGTCTCTGAATTAAACATGTGATAATTACACATAATTAAAAATAACATGTCTAAAATGTGGGTTATGTCACAGTACAATAACGAACGGGTATTTAATAATAATTAAAAACAACAAATCAGGTAGTGACGTGTGTGTGTATATATATATATATATATATATATATATATATATATATATATATATATATATATATATATATATATATATATATATATGGAAAAAGCTCAAATAAAGCTAAACTATTATTAAAAATAATATATATATATATATATATATATATATATATATATATAATATATATATATATATATATATATATATATAAATAATAAAAAAATATATATATATATTTATTATTATTTTTAATAACACTACATTGTGACATCTTGTATATAATATATAGTGTAATATAAATATAAATTTATAAGTGCAAAGTAAATTATCTAAGGCAATAAAGAAATTATGCTAGAAAAAATTAAAACAAAATAAAATAACAAGCAACCATAAAAAAAATCATGTATTATAAAATTAAAAAGAAATTAAATAAAGGAATAAATTGTGCAAATAGCAATAACAACAAATGTATACAATTTATATAACACTTGTGATATTTTCCTATCAAAATATTGTCATATTATTATTATATTTAAACATTGATATTAAGAGTTTCATATAAAATATTAATTGAATAAAATCAATTAAGATTTTTACAAAATACAAGTTTAAAAATAAATCAATAAGTTATTAATAATGCATTGAAATAGTGATAAAAATTAAAGTAAAATAATTATAATACATATAAATTAAAACAAAACAGTATAAAAATAAATGTATAATTAATTGTTATAATATTTTTAATCATAATAGTGTTCTAATGTAAATATACATTATATTTATTATTAATTAAAATAATGCTAAATTAAAGTAGGGTAAGGCAGTGGCGCAGTAGGTAGTGTTGTCGCCTCACAGCAAGAAGGTCGGTGGGTCGCTGGTTCGAACCTCTCCTCAGTTGGCGTTTCTGTGTGGAGTTTGCATGTTCTTCCTGCCTTCGCGTGGGTTTCCTCCGGGTGCTCCGGTTTCCCCCACAGTCCAAAGACATGCGGTACAGGTGAATTGGGTAAACTAAATTGGCCGTAGTGTATGAGTGTGTGTGAATGTGTGTGTGGATGTTTCCCAGAGATGGGTTGCGGCTTGAAGGGCATCCGCTGCGTAAAAACTTGCTGGATAAGTTGGCGGTTCATTGCGCTATGGCGACCCCGGATTAGTAAGGACTAAGCCGACAAGAAAATGAATGAATAAATTAAAGTAAATAAATGATAATCAAATAAATCAATGTAAATGAAAATCTAAAATAATATAAAGAAAACTAATAAAAAATGCAATAATTAATAATTAAAAGCAAAATAAATTATTTAAATAAATTAAATTAAAACAAGTTTTATATTGCAATAGTTGTATAAAGGCACATAATAAATTAAAAGTTGTTTTATACATTTTAATAGAGCAAAAATATTTTTATAATGTTGTGCTATTGTAACATCTAAATATTACAATAATACAATATTGTTATTTTCAATATTGATATAGCACTGTGGCCTCACAGCAAGAAGGTCGCTGGTTCGAGTCCTACCTGGGTCAGTTGCTATTTCTGTGTGGAGTTTGCATGTTCTGCCTGTGTTGGCCACAAGTCCAAACACATTTGCAATAGGGGAATTGGGTGAGCTAAATTGTCTGTAGTGTACAGTATGTGTGTGATTGAGTGTGTATGGGTGTTTCCCAGTGATGGATTGCAGCTGAAAGGGCATCCGCCTTGTAAAACATATGCCTTATTTTATATGTATATATATATATATATATATATATATATATATATATATATATATATAAACTTCTAGTGTAATATAAAACATAAATATATAAATGCATAATAAAAAAATTAAAAGCAATACCGAGAATATAATAACGCAAATTAAAAGGTCCAAAATAAAGTAAATGCATAATGATTTTACAGGGGACTATGATAAAAAACTTCATTTAATATGAAGTTAATTAAATGATTAAAAATGAATAGTTACATTTCGATAACACTGTTGTGATATTGTAATATCAAAATATAACAAAACTGCTCTATTTTAACGTTGATATTAGTAGTTTTGTATAAAAATATTTATTGGATAATAAAGTTAATTAACATTTTTAATTATTAAAATAAACAAAATACATTAAAATAATGATGATAAAGCAAATAAATGATAACAAAATAAATCAACATCAATGAAAATAAAAAGTATAACAAAAAATTATACATAAATAATTTAATAATTAAAATACTATATTATATTGCAATAGATATATCATGGCATGTTATAAATGAAAAGGTATTTATACATTTTAATGTGGCGAAAATATTTTTTATAATCTTGTGATATTGTAAAATCAAAATATTACAATAATATAATACTGTTATATAATATTGAATAGTTAATATGAATAATTTAATAGTTATTTCATATTTAACATGTATAGTTTCATATAAAAAGTAAAATATTTTTAATTGCATAATAAAATAAAGAATTGTAAAAAATAAAAAAGCTGAAAAATAAAACAACAAGTATTATTAAATTAATTCCATATTAAATGATAATACAATAAATCAATATCAATGAAAATCCAAATATCACTATTGTGACATTATATCAACATATTACAATAATACAACACTGTCATATTTATACTTTGCATTTCATATAAACATGCAAAAATGTGATTAACAGCAGAATACAATTAATGAAAATTTGTTAAGAATAAAATTGATTAAAGATAATACAATAATAACAGTTATTAATACGCTAAAATTTGCTAAATTAAAGCAAAAGATGATAAAAATAAAGACCAAAATTGTAATAATATGAAAAACTATTCAAATAAAACTATAGTAACATTTATAATACTTTATTCTTATATAGCAATAGATATATTAATATTATATTATAAAAGAAGAGTGCTTAATAATAACATTAATAATGATTATAATAAATTCTAAAATGATGCAATAAAACACAAAGGGCAGTTTCAGCTCATTTCATGTATATACTTATAGACTTAAATTTGTTTTTTGAGTTTTCATTTGTTCCATGTGTCACTCATCACACAATAATCCTGAATATATCCATTTTCATTTATTCATTGATTTTCTTATTGGCTTAGTCCCTTTATTAATCCGGGGTCACCACAGGTTCAGTGGAATGAACCGCTAACTGTTCAGCAAGTTTTTTACGCCCTTCCAGCCGCAACCAATCTCTACGAAACATCCACACACACATTAACACACACACTCATACACTGCGGACAATTTAGCCTACCCAATTCACCTGTACTGCATGTGTTTGGACTGTGGGGAAAACCGGAGCAAACCCACGCGAACACAGGGAGAACATGCAAACTCCACACAGAGACGTCAACTGAGCCGAGGCTCGAACCAGTGACCCAGCGACCTTCTTGCTGTGAGGCGACTGCACTACCTACTGCGCCACTGCTTCGCCTATATCCATGTTTCACCATCTAAATACATTTACTAGAGACTTAAACAGTGTGGCAGCAGAAGCATGATGTCTTCACCACACCGATGATGTGCAATGAACAGCAGTCCAGCATTTCTAACCCAAATCAGATGAGATTTATAATGGAAAACACTGAAAAAAATCAGTCATGTAGTATTTACTGCACTGGTTGCAAACTATTTATATGGACTGAATTTAAACCAACAAGGTAAGTTGAACATTACTACATTTCATTTGTTTAAATTTGACCGATATAAATAGTTTGCAACCAGTTACCCTAAAAATAAACTCTGGGTTCCCCTCAGTTCCTTCAAGTTGTCCCAACACAGGCCAGCACAATGGCTCAGTGGTTAGCACTAAGGCCTCACAGCAAGAAGTTCACTGGTTCGAGTCCCGGTTGAGTCAGATGGCATTTCTGTGTGGAGTTTGCATGTTCTCCCCGTGTTGGCGTGGGTTTCCTCCAGGTGCTCCGGTTTCCCCCTACAGCCCCTACATGAGCTATAGGGGAATAGAATAAACTAAATTGACCGTAGTGTATAAGTGTGTGTGTGTAAATGTGTGTATGGGTGTTTCCCAGTACTGGGTTGCAGCTGGAAGGGCATCTGGTGAGTAAAACATATGCTAAATTGGTTGGTGGTACATTCTGCTGTGGTGACCTCTGAAATAGAGACGATTTGTGTTGGGACAACATTAAAAAACAGAACAAAGAACATAAAACAATTGAGTTTATTAATTTATTTAAGTTTATTAACAATTACAACTAAAGAATCGAGTCGTTTCAGCTCATTTGAAACAAGTAGTTTGAACTAACAGCAAACGTCATTTTTGTTGAGTGTACCTTAAAAGCATGTAGCAAATCCAAAGAACCCTTTTTCTCAGTGAGCAGTTCACTCTGCAGTCAGTCATCGCTGCTGTGTTTGTGTTCATATTTTTGAGTCGAGGCTGCAGTAGAAGTCTGTCTGTCTGCGGTGCTGGAGCACAGGCATGTCCCTCCTGATGTCCCGTAGCTTCTGCAGGTTAATGTGAGCCAGTGTGACTCCCTCCTGGGTCCCACCGCAGTCCCCCAACACCTCACCCCACGGGTCCACCGCCAGAGCGTGACCGTATGACGCCCGTTTTGAGTGATGCGCTCCCACCTGTGCCGCCGCTAGCACGAAACACTGCGTCTCCACCGCCCGAGCACGCAGGAGAACCTAGATTAGCATATTAGTCAGCAACCTACACAAGGAACTACTATAGCAATTTATAGTGAAATACTACCGTGTTTTTCAACAGTACTATTGACTGTACTCTTCACCAGTGAGCGGACACAGCCATCTGAATCAGTCTGGCTCGAGACTACCGCTCTAATTCATTTTCATTGATATTTAGACGTTAAAGGGTCACGAAACACCAAAACACATGTTTTGAGCTGTTGACAGTCTTATGTGTCCCACGCTGCTAAAAACACTATTAGGACACATATACATCCGCTTGTTAAGTGGTGACGTGTTTGTGACTGTAATACTGTTTCCGGGTCCAAGTCGCCACTCATTTGAGTGGAGAAATCATTCGTTTGTGATCACTGGGGATTCCCACTATATAAGGCTGACAGCAATGGCGTCTATGTCTCTCTCTCTGTCTTGCAGTCTCTCGCCCTCCCTCAGCTCGGTGGTGGCTTGCGCTCAGGCGGTCTGGCTGGCGGTGCTCCGCAAGTCGATCATTCATCCAGATGCCGCTCCATTTAGTGTTTTGTTCCTGGTAATCTTTTTGATTCTTAGTTCGTAATGTGTTAACTCGTTTGTTTATTTTGATACTTTGTTTTGTAGCAGGTAGGGGTTTATTTTTCATAGTAACATTTTGTTATTTATTTAGTTTAGCGAAGGTAAGCAGTGGCCCGGAAGACTCACCTATTTTTATTCCTTTCACGGGAGTTTAGGTAAAATCTGTCCATTTAAAGCAGTATAGTGAGAGACCTGTTTACCTTAGCTTCCCTACCTGTCTACTTGATTTTTGTTAATGTTTTGTCTCTCTCTTTTGAAAACTTATGATTTATGGAAAATTAAATATATTAATGGAACGTCAATTTAACAATTCAAACGTCTGTGTCTTCCATGTGTTCGGCTCAAACCTTGAATGTTGTTGTTATTTGAACCAGTTTTGAGTTTGGGCCGTAACACCAGACAAAAAAAAAATACTACAGTAATTTATAGTTAAATAATACAGTGTATTTAAAACATACTATAGTACCGTAATTTAATTATTTTGTTGTGTTAATTCTGTTGCTATCATAATAACAATTATAGACCATTTTGAGGGAACTGAAGCGAGTAGGTCACATGATATAATGGCGAATGTAGTGCGTCTCAATTCCATATGTCCTGTTTTACACCGCTAGCATGAAACACTGCAAAAAAAAAAAACAAGCATGCGAGGCGAGTAGCATGTCTGAATTCATAGTATTGGAAAAACAGTATTCGAGAAGTACCCTGATGGCCTACTACCCATGACGCAATGCGATAGAATTCATGAATGGGAGTGAAACGACATAGCTGACGTGAGCAGGTCACATGATGTAATGGCAGATGTAGTACGTCCAAATTCCATTCATTATATATAGGACACACTTTTCTATTGCTGTGTTCACACCAGACGCGGAACGCGCAGATAAATCGCGCTATTCGCTCATAAATTGCCGCGTGAACATTTGAGTTTACTCGCTTCATTCGCGCATCAAACCCCGCTTCTTTCGCGCCTCAAATCTGCTTCATTCGCGTGTCAAATTCACTTCAAAACAGGCGCGGATTCGCGTGATGGACAGGGCTTCTGTCTGCCTGGTGACTCTAGCTTAATAGCTAAATGGCTAGAATGGATTTTATGAAGAAAATAACAGTGTTTATGTGCTTTATGAAGACTGAAAAACAGCGTCGATACGTTTAGGGTCCTGTCTGAGTCCACTCCATCCTTTCAGAGGTGCATCCAGCTCTGTGAGCTCACAAACTCCTCCAGAAACTTAACCTGGATGACGGAGGCTTTCAGCGGTGCTTCTGACTAACCCAAGCCCAGATTGATGACTTGTTGTTAGTGTCGCCTGGAGGATTTCCCCCGGGACACAATCAACAGGTTCTACGTCACAATCACGCCCCCACAAGACCAAGCTTCTGATTGGTTAACGTGGCGCAAATGTCTGCTGAAGTTCAGATTTTCAAACTTGAGAGATTTGCGCGAAACGCTCGTTAAGTGCGTCAAACGCGCAAAACGCTCAATTCGCCCCGCGCCATTCGCGCGTATCGCACTATTCGCACTGCGCCATTTGCACAAGTCGCGTCATTCGCGTGTATCGCGCCGCAGGATGTCTATTCGCACGTTTGCATTGACTTAACATGTAAATCACTCGCGCTTGACGCGCGTTCCACATCTGGTGTGAACACAGCATAAGAGTCAACTCAGATTCAAATGTAGTATCTACTTGAGTAGTAGGCGACTGTTTTACCACATTGCTGACGTGTTAACAAACTGTTCACATTCATGATTGTTTTGTTGAAAATTGTATAGTATTTAACGCAAAATAGCTGATATTACTGACCTCCCAATGTGCGGTTCCTGTGGCCACAGTGAAGGCTGATGGGTAAGTAAGGATTTCGGCTCCGTGTCTCTGCAGCGCTGCCGACAGCTCAGGAAAACGTAAATCGTAGCAGACGCCGAGACCCACCTGTGAAACAGCAGCGGAGTGAGCACGTCGTCACATACACACTGATAGTGGTGTGAGTGTCTCTGTACCTTCCCGATGGGCGTCTGCACTGGAGGAACCAGACGAGGGCCAGGAATAGTGAAGGCGCTTTCTTTCAGAGAAACACCTTTACTGCTCAACTCCACGTCAAACAGATGAGTCTTCCTGTACACTGACACTATCTCACCTGAGCACAGCAACACACACATGAACACAGACAAATTCTTAAACGCAAACACAAACGTACAAAAACTTTCGCGCACACACACACACGCAAACACACACTTGCGCGCACACACACAAACACAATTGCCATCACAGATGCCCACAAATGTACACAAACACACACAAACTTGCCAACACACACACACGAAACAAGCATATACACACAAATATACAAAAACAAACACATACACACCATAAACATATAAACACACAAATTGTGCGCACACACACACACACACAAACACAACTGCAAACACACATGCCCATAAATGTACACAAATACAAACAATACACACACAAATGAAACTAACACGCTCACAAAACATGCACACACATAAAACAAACACACACAAATGTACACACACACACACAAAACAAATACAAAAAGACGAACACACAAATACGGGGCGAAGCAGTGGCGCAGTAGGTAGTGCTGTCGCCTCACAGCAAGAAAGTCGCTGGGTCGCTGGTTCGAGCCTCGGCTCAGTTGGTGTTTCTGTGTGGAGTTTGCATGTTCTCCCTGCCTTCGCGTGGGTTTCCTCCGGGTGCTACCGTTTCCCCCACAGTCCAAACACATGTGGTACAGGTGAATTGGGTTGGCTAAATTGTCCGTAGTGTATGAGTGTGTGTGTGAATGTGTGTGGATGTTTCCCAGAGATGGGTTGCAGCTGGAAGGGCATCCGCTGCATAAAAACTTGCTGGATAAGTTGGCGGTTCATTCCGCTGTGGCAACCCCGGATTAATAAAGGGACTAAGCCGTAAAGAAAATAAATGAATGGATGAATGAATGAAGTTGGCGGTTCATTCCACTGTGGTGACCCTGGATTAATAAAGGGACTAAGCCGACAAGAAAATAAATGAATGGATGAATGAATGAAGTTGGCGGTTCATTCCGCTGTGGCAACCCCGGATTAATAAAGGGACTAAGCCGACAGGAAAATAAATGAATGGATGAATGAATGAAGTTGGCGGTTCATTCCACTGTGGTGACTCCGGATTAATAAAGGGACTAAGCCGACAGGAAAATGAATGAATGAACACACAAATCGCAAACATACATGCACACAAACACACAGAAAACTAACACATAAAAGTAATATATATATATATATATATATAAAGATTCTAAGTACCTTGTCCATTAATGATAATGTGGCTGTTATAAATGCGTCGGTCTGTTTTCCAGTCATGTCCTTGCTCATGAAATCCACCCAGAGACAGCCACACATCCAGCTTCCTTAAAGACAGACATCGGCCGCCATTTATAACTCATGCTGTATGTTCCGAATCCCCACAGCAGTAGCTACGTTTCCATCCAAAGATGGGAATTAAATTTAAGCACAAAACTGGAATGTCACATAAAAGATTTCCAAATAAAGCAGCGCTTCTACAAATGAGTGAAAGAGTACATAACCGTCACTTCCTGATAAACTGGAGCCAAATATCAGACAGAAAAACATTGTTTCGTGCAGTAGGAGAAGCCACTGTGAGCCTTTTGTCTTCTTTAATAAGTGAATAGCACCTCAGAAGACGAAATGCAATGAATGCTGTCTGGTTTCTGTTGTAGTTCATGCACATTTTGCCTTATTGGATAAAACGTTTTTGGATGTGATCCAAGTTCTGTGAAGAGATGATGCCATCCATAGATGACTTCTAGAGGTATCCATAATCTTGGACCAGGCCGTATTCTTAGCAGATGCTGTGGTGGTCATGGAGCAGTGGAGAGCATGAGACTGATTTCTGAAAGACCCCAGTGACAGACGAGTCTCTGCACTGATCCTCTGGGCCAGCATAAACACCCGCTGGTGACCTACTCACACCTGCAGCTTCTCCACGATGGACGTCAAGTAGGCTTGGGCTGTATGCAAATTTTGATACCATCAAACCTCCTCCCTATTTTTCCTCGGTCTCCGGTATTACCGTGCATAATAAAAAAAATATGACGTAAGGCTCAGACAGCGTCTCCAAACTGTTGGCTTGTGCCTAAACCATTCGGAAACTGAATACCGTATATGCGACCTTAGGTTCGCGGCCACCCGTTTGTCTTGTTTACACACACACAGAAATGCACGCACGCACACACACAAACACGCACACACACAAACAGCATCAACGCGGATGCGCACATGTTCGCTCGCTCGGAAGCGATATTGTTGGACTGCGCGCCCACTCCTGTTCATTTACACCAGTTACCGACCGCTCCCGTGCTTTATTCGGATATTTAGAATGCAGACCTCTAGTTCATATTTACCACGTCTCCCTTCACGTTTGGTCGAAACCTGAAATACTGCCAAACTGCAGAGTCTGTGTTCTTTTTCGAGACCTGGTCACTTGGTCTGCGACTCGCCATCTTACCTGACCTCTCTCTCTCTCCTCCACACTGTAAAAATAATCTTTAATATTTAATCCTTGTCTCCTATTTAAGTGCATTGTTTTTTATGACGATATAACGGTATTGACACTGACATTGTTGCTATTTTTAGATACCGTGGTATACCATATTACCGTCTTACCACCCAAGCCTAATGTCCAGTGTTCTTCAGCCTCCGGCACCTAGACTGCAGCTATGCACAAGACGCTTGGCCAAGAAGAAGGCTGGTTTCTCTCTAGGTTTTTCCCTTCACTTTCATCAATCACTTTTGTCACTGGCTTGCTTATTTTGGGACTGGTGGAGCTGTGAATCGATGGATTTGCTCTTCAGTGTTTTCAGCATTAAAAATTAACTCACACTGAACTGGACTAAACTGAACTTCAACTCCGAAAACTGGACCGACACTGTTTCAATTTACTAGAACTTCTATGTTCAGCTGCTTTGACACAATCTACATTGTAAAAGCGCTATGGAAATAAAGATGAATTGATATGCGTATTTTTAAGATTTTCTTTAAAAATTTCCATTAAGCGCTTTTTAACCTCTTCGGACCTGAATTAAATTCCAAGTTTCAGAAAAATATAAAAGTCAATTTTCCCTGTTCTTATAAATTTACCATCAATGAAACCCCATTAAAACAATACAAATGTCATTCATCTTTAATTGATTTTTTGTTTGTCCATTTCACCGGGCATAAGGTCAAAACAGTGGTACCTTAAATAATAAACCAACATGACAAATTTACTTGATGTTTCTTCTGAAGGTAACAATCTTGAACAATAAAACATTTTAACTTAAATGTGCTACATACTGCATTGGATTAATAAGTTACATTTTTCTCTCTGTATGGCTTCGGTAAGTTAAAAACAAACTCCAGAAACAGTTTAATAAGCTCATTTAATACTACATAAAATACCCCTAGAATCAGAAGGTCCATGATTGACCATATATGGTTCGTGTCATGAATATAAATGAGCAGAACTTCTGACCAATCAGATGCTCTCTAGTGTCTCACATGCCCCGCCCCCTTCAAGACGATACTCATTTAATTTGATCTCAACACTCTCACTGGCAGAGCTGTGATTAAAAACAAAATGCTATTGGCTGTTTATCTATGTCCCAACCGCTCTTAGTTTTTCAATTGAGATTACATCAAAAATCAACTAAAAAATGCACTTCATGGGACCTTTAATACAGTATTCTAAAATGTGCATAAAAATTTGTGGAAAATATGCGGCTCACCTGGCCAGGTGTGTGTATCTGCTGATAGTTTCTCCATCCAGACTCTCTGACAGTTGCAGCGTCTCCTCACGACTTGAGCCAATGTAATCAAAGCCCTCTGGCAGGAACACCATGCTAGCTCCGCCCACTTTGGCCTGCTCCACCAATCGCGTGCACGTTCTGAAGTTTGCTTCTTTGTCAGGGCTGGCAGTCATCTGACACACCGCGGCCACAGGAACCGATGATGACATCCTGTCAACACAAACATACTGGGATTACCATTTCTGCAGATTACAGTGTGAATATTTCATGCATGAATGATGGCACAGCCATATCACCCTGCAGCCCAAGACCGGTTACTCACTGAAGCTAAGCAGGACTGAGCCTGGTCAGTACCTGAATGGGAGACCACATGGGAAAAAACTGGGTTGCTGTTGAAAGTAGTGTTAGAAAGACCAGCAGGGGGCACCCAACCGGCAGTCTGTGGGAGTCCTAATGCCCCAGTATAGTGAAGGAGACACTACACTGTCAGTGAGCGCCGTCTTTCAGACGAGAAGTTAATCCGAGGTCCTGGCTCTCACAATCTGATGGCACTTCTCGTAAAGAGTAGGGTGTAACCCCGGTGTCCTGGCCAAAATCTCTCCATTGACTCTGACCCATCATGGCCTGCCAATCATTGCCATCCACCGAATTGCCTCTATCACTGTCTCTCCACTCCCCCTATAGCTGGTGTTTGGTGAGCGCACTGGCATCGTTGTCCTGTGGCTGGCGTCGCATCGTCCAAGTGGATGCTGCACACTGGTGGTGGTGTGGAGAGACCCCCCTCATGATTGTGAAGCGCTTTGGGTGCATGGCCATACATGATAAATGCGCTATATAAATAAACATTACTTACGATTTATTTGCTGACAAAAAGTACAGCATGTGTAACCCCACCGGTCCTACACCACCCAACCCGCTCTAAGCTGGTATCGAACCAGCGACCTTCAGCATGGGAGTTGGTTGCTCTAACAAGGAGGCTTAAGGCTGATTTATACTTCTGCGTCAAACGCCGGCGTATGCTACGGCGCTGACGCATAGCCCATCGCCGTGGCTGATGTGCACCTCTCAAAAAATGTAACTACACGTCGCAACGACGCGTAGCGTAAGCTCTGTGATTGGTCGGCTTGGTATCGCTGACGAGTATGGGCGGGACCGAGAGCCGCGCGAATGGCGCGAGCGATTGTTTACAAGTGTGGAGTAACGTGAAGGAGCTCCGGATGGAAAGTTTTGTTTTGTGTTTACCTCATAGTTAAAGTTGTTGCACGTCCGCCGGTTCCTGCCTCAAAATGAGCGAGTTTGAGCCACTTGCACATCCCGGAAGTGTTCAGGAAAAGCAAAAAAGCAGCGAAGAAACTCGACACAGAGGAACAGTAACACCTCACTGCCCACTAGCGTTTCGGAAGTGTTAATGCAGACCGACAGAGACAGCGTGCAGAAGTATAAATGCACAGCCACGCGCGTTGCCTGCGCCGTGGGTTACGTCGGTCACTTGAGGCAGAAGTATAAATCAGGCTTAAAGACTATGGCCTCTGACAACTGTTGCTAGAGCACCTCTAGAGGTCAGAGAAGTGAGGTTTACCTGCACAGCACGTACTAGCTGGCCTCCGTTACACATGCAACTAATATAATGGAGAGATGGAGAATTTGTTCTTGTCTAATAATAAGAACATACTTTTAATCTTTTTATGATCATTTTGTTAAAAATAATTAAAATATTTAAGTAATTTTTTTTGTAATCTTTTTATTTTTAAATAATTTTAAAAAATCATAATTTGGAGATAATTATTATTTAGTATTTATTCATAAAATAAAATGTTATGGGTAAAATAATACCTTAAAATAATATTTCATTAAATAATTATAAATAATAATAAAACAAATTTAAACACTTTATCATATTAATTTAATATTCATTTCATATTCATTGTGTGTGTGTGTGTGTGTGTGTGTGTGTGTGTGTGTGTGTGTGTGTGTGTGTGTGTGTGTGTGTGATCTTTATTTAAATGAAGAATGTATAATATACATACACATATATATACACTACCGGTCAAAAGTTTGGGGTCAGTAGGATTTTTAAATGTTTTAAAATAAGCTACTCCTGCTCACCAAAGCTGCATTTATTTAATCAAAAATACAGTACAAATTGTACAATTGTGAAATGTTTTTGCAAAAACTGTTCAAAAGTAGTTTATCATTTTATTTAATAATTTATTCCAGTGATTTTAATGATGAATTTTCAGCTTCATTACTCGAGTCTTCAGAGTTACTCTATTATTAATTATTATTATTATTATTATTATTATTATTATTATTAATGGTAATAGTAATAAAAGAATTAATGACTGGAGTAAGACATTTATTTGAAACTACATACAATAAGAAAGCAGTTATATAAAATTTTAATTTTAACATTATGTGTGTGCATGTTGCAACTTTTTAAAGTTGTAAATAAGTAAATGCTGCCTTGATGAACAGAATAATTTTCTTTAAAAAAATAAATGAATAACTGACCCCAAGATTTAGATATAGATATTTTTATGTTTGTATTAAATTGCATTTAAAAAAGTGACATGGTGGCGCAGTGGGTAGCACGATTGCTACACAGCAAGAAGGCATTTCTGTGTGGAGTTTGCATGTTCTCCCGTGTTTGCGTGGGTTTCCTCCGGGTGCTCCTTTTTCCCCCACAGTCCAAACACATGCGCTATAGGGGAATTGAATAAGATGAATTGGACGTAGTGTATGTGTGTATGTATGCGAGTGTGTATGGGTGTTTCCCAGTACTGGGTTGCAGCTGAAAGGGCATCCGCTGTGTAAAACATATGCTGGACAAGTTGGTGGTTCATTCCGCTGTGGTGAGCCCAGATTAATAAAGGGACTGAGCCAAAGGAAAAGTAATGAATTTACATTTGCGTATGTGAGATTTCAATAAAAAATAAAATAAAGTTTATATTTTTAAATATTATGAGCAAGGAACGCTTCAACATCAATCCAAATATGATAAGTATTGAAATAGTTTCATTAAAACGTTCACAAAAACAGCAACAGGTGAATTGGGTAAGCTAAATTGTTCATAGTGTGTGTGTGTATGTGAATGTGAGTGTGTATGGATGTTTCCCAGGGATTGGGTTGCAGCTGTATCTGTATATCTCTAATGCACAAAAATAACAAAAGAAGTACAATCATACATTGAGGTAAAGTTGATTTTATATTGACACACTGATTCAGTGACAGCTCCGTACATTGTTTACCATGGTAAACATATTAATATATTATTTATATTTATTATATATTTATATATCATAAATATATTCGGACTGAAATCACATGCAAGTATGACTTTAAAACAGCATTAGCACTATTTAACTGACAGTGAACAACGTACTTTGATGGTTGTTGGCTGCTAATAGACTTCACTGTTTACAATTTGCAAATAATACTTTTTTTTAAATTATATTGTTAAGGAGAAAGTCTGAATGTGCGACTATAAAACCAACTTTACCTCATTCAATCATATTATTCAACACAGCCTTCTTTATGAACATTAATAAACAACAGACAGCATCTGAGATTACAATGTAAGCTTATGAAAGTGTTGTAAAGTACAGAACAACATCCACAATGCTAACCTGGGGCCTGTTTCAGAAAGGAGGTTAAGTGAAAACTCAGAGTATTTTAACCCTGAAATGACAGAAACTCTGGGTTTTCGGTTTCAAAATGGCAGGTTTGTTAAACTCAAGAAATCAGGGTAAGTCAAGCCTGTTTCTAAAAGAAAGGTAACTTTAACTCAGAGTCAGTTACTGTGGTAACTTACTCTGTGAATCTAACCTGGTCCGGAGCAGGTTTTATTCTCTAAACTCTGAGTTTCTGTCGGTCTCCTCCCCTTTTTTAAAGATGAAGCGTATTTCTCGCATTAGTCTTACATTTCCACACACCTATTTTAGAGCTCATTTTGGAGATGCCCATAAAAACGATTGATGGAAACGTCATGATTCACATAACTTTTGAAAATATTCATAATAAAACATTTGCATATCTGAGTAGGTTAAACTTTTATTTGATAAGAAAAGATGTGCAAAAACTACGAAGTGCACTTAACAAATTACAGTATGTACATTAAAAAAAAGTTTGTTAGAGATGATGATGAAAATGTGTGTAAATGGACAAACCAGCTGACTGAGCACACAGTAGAACATTTTAAATGTTGTTTTAGTCATTCTAAAATGCCTTTACTGTTTCAGTATTAGTGTATAATAGGCTATTAATTACCTCCGAGCGTCTGGAGCGTGTCAAGATCGGCCGCGTCTGGCTTCAAACGCCCCCACGTGTTCATTGTGTCTTCTGAGGCGCAAGTATTAAATAAAAAATCATTAACGCAGCTTGTTCTACGTACCGCAGTAAATTCTGTTTTTACTGTTGATATTTGGCGCAAGTTAATCAGGAAGTGACGATTGTGTTCTCTTTGACTCGATAAAAACGCTGCTTTATTCACATCTTTTAGGCATTATTCCAGTTTTGCACAAATTTATGTTAGCCTGTATTTTGATGGAAATATAGCTATTGCCTACATTTTTGTCACACACAGAACAAAGTCACGTACAAGGCGTGTCCTTTTTTCCATAAATATTTAGCTTAACCTTCGACATGTACCGTTACTAGATTAATGGGATTATTATTCTGTCTAAAAATTATTTTTAGCACTAGTGTTTCTTAATGTTATATCAACCTCTCTTGATCAATAAAAAGGCAGACACACAAGTGCACTGTTAAATCTATTAAAACTGATAAACATGTATAAAAGTTTAGAAAAAAGTATAAACGTCACACATTATATTACTTATTTTATTATACTTAAATGTTTATATAATTTAAACAAAACGCATTAACTTGAGCAGCTGTTTTCCCAGGCTAACTGTCTCTGTTTCACTGATGGTTGCTTCTTTTTAAATATATACACTCATATTTGCTAAAACTTTGCATGAGCAGATCAAGTTCAGCTGGGGAAAGAAATGGTGATCTCTTTTTTTAAGATGTTGCCATGGTCACTCATAATATCATGCGCTCCATTGATAATGTCTTTTTATTGTCACGGTGTGCGCGCTTAACTCTGAGTTGGTCTACTCAAAGTTGATTGACCCAACTCAGATCAGCTATTCTGAAACCGAAAACTCAGAGTCTTTAATCTCTCGGTAAATCAACTCAGAGTTCAAGTTTAAACTCCGAGTTGTTTGAACCTCCTTACTGAAACAGGCCCCTGCTCTGTCCTCTCGACGCCCAAGCCAAAAGACCGACAGTAAACGCAGATGTTCCGTGTTTTACAGCAATGAACGAAAGCATCGGCAGAACTGTACAGCTCGCTTCACTTTCTGTCTGGTCTGAACACACAGGCTGAACTTTGAGCTTATTTCTTCCACTCAGAGGTGAATAGCTAACCTTACAGCTCACATATTAACAGCTCACTACATAATCTGCAGAATACTGAGGTAAATGAAAGAAAATAGTCAGTCTTTTCGCATTAAATTACAGTTAGGGCTGGGGTGAACTGAGCGTGTGGTACAGAATAAACATACATATTACGAATGAAACTGTTTGTTTTCCCGGTGTGGGCGGGGTTTCGATGTAATGACGCTGCCTCTGATTGGATAGGCGTGTTGGTCGTTATAAATGTCTATGCGTGTTGGTAAGAAATTATCATAATGCATTTTTTACGTTTATCGTGGGTTAGCATTGTCATTTAGTTGTCAGTAGCCTTATTTGAATGTAAGCTAATCTCATTTAAAAAGCGAAGTAGATTGAACGTGGTCACGTGATTTGTTATACTTTTCTCAGCGCGGAGCAGGAAAGACCAATCACGAGAATGCGGTTGTAACCGCTGGTTGATATATTAGTGTAATTTTATTTATCTGTCTATTTATTTATTTATTTCAAAAATTTATTTCCACCTGTTTCTTCAATTTAAATACAAATGTATTGTTTTTATTTAAAACACTACAAACTTTACAGGAACAAATCTATATATCATACAAAGAAAATATAAAAATATCAAACGTGTATATATAGGTAGTGTATGTGTGTGTGTTTAAATCATAAGCTGCGTCCCAAATGGCACACTATACACTATGCACTCATGCACTATGTACTTATGCACTTACACACTCAACAGGATAGTACATGTATGTAGTGTTGTCCCAAATGGCACACTAATGTTTTTTTACTAAACGGAAATTCAAACCGTTTCCCTGATGACGTTTGACGGTTGCCAAATCATTGAAATAAATGACCAAACTATCAAATAAAACCTGCCGTAAGTATAACCGCATTAACCATCGGGAGGCGCTATAATCACTCTCGTAGGAGAATTTTGCTTTCACCATCCAAAATAAATAAAGTTATTCAACATGTGCGTCCGATAGCTCCGCCCCTTCCGCTACGTAAGCAAACCTGCGGTCGTTGAGTGCGTGAAGTGTCCATCTTTACACACTTCATTATAGCGGCTGAATGAGTGCATCATCCGGGTAATTAAAGTGCACTTATTATTTTAAGAGTTTTCAGTGTGAACACACTACTTACACTATTTATACTACAAAATGGCGTAGAATAGTGCATAAGTATGCGATTTGGGACGCAGCTATAGACTGTAAAAAGGTTTACGTACAGGACTTTTTTATCCAATGCTTTAACAACACTTACCAACATTTTTTTTTTACAATATGTAAATTAATTTATTAATAAACAAAGACAAAAATAGTGTGAGTTGAAGTTCTAACAAATTTCTCACATTTCCCCACAAGCTTAAAGCACTTTTTATTTAAAATGGCAATGATCGGTAATTTCAGTCAGGAGTGTTCGCAGTCAGCCGCTCATGTGACCCGCGAGGGGTCCTGACTCGTGCGGTTGTGTGCAGTTCATCATGGCGGCGAACAGCAGCAACAGCACGAGCGGTAAAAGCGGCGCAAAGCAGTCCACTCCGTCAGCCGAGCAGGTAAACGGGGCACCTGATGTATTACAGTGACGCATGAACACTTTATCTACACTTTTATCTACACTGCGACATGACAAAACCCGAACTTAACCGCTTTAATAAACAACAAAGCCGGACCGCCCGCCGCCCCTCAGTCTCTACGACGGAGGTGTGCAGGTTTTATCGCAAAACATTGAATCAGTCTTAAATCAGATGCTCATGTACAGTTTTATATTTGTCTTGAGGCACTGCAGACTTAATATCAGGCAGATTATAGAGACTGCAGATTCATAAAGCTGCTGATATTGTGCTGGTCGTCTCCACCCAGCTGCCTCTATATGGAAACCGCGTCGTGTGCATTTCTGTCACTATTCCTGTCATGGAGGAGAAGAAACCACGAGTGACACTATTGGAGTCATTACAGGACGACTTAATTATAATAAATATAAAGGGTTAGTTCAATATAGTTGGATATACCACTAACTGTACTAAAAAATACTAATGCTTTCCTTCTTAGACTTTACAGACCTGAAACTTGCCTACAGCACTTATTCATTGTTGCTCTTATAGTTGTGTAAATTGCTTCCTTGTCCTCATTTGTAAGTCGCTTTGGATAAAAGCGTCTGCTGAATGACTAAATGTAAATGTTCAAGCACATATGAAAATGTTGTTATTAATTAGTTGTTAATGTTTAGGACGCAAGTAAAGGTGTTTTAGATGAAATCCGAGAGCTCTCTCATCCTCCATAGACAGCAAGGGTACTACAAGCACCACCTATGTTGTCTTCCACCTATTTGATGCACATTTTGAAATTACACAAAACATGGTTAATGGAAACGGCAATATGCGCTTAAAATAAAATAAAATGTGCACAAACTGTCTATCCGGTAAAAAATAGCTACGATGGAAACACTTTTACCAAATAAATTCCAGCCTGCGCTTAAAAAGTCATGTGATTTTGATATTGGAAAAAAGTACATTGCGATATTTTGATTTCCTGCAATTTTTATATTGCGAAATTTCACCAGATAACTTTGAACACTTTAAAAATGAATTAATTTTGCAATAAATTTATTTTGTGTATATATATATATATATATATATATATATATATATATATATATATATATATATATATATATAAATGCATGCATTTGATTTTTTTTCCATTTATGTTTAATTTAGAACAAATATTTATATGATACAAATGTATATATAAATTTAAACATCTTTGTAGCAAGATAGTTTTGTTTCTTTCAGATATACATAATAAACATACATAATACACACATTGTCACAATTTTTTTTTTATTTTGAATGTGATTAATCGCAATTCATCTTTGCTCAACACTAGTAATAGGTGGTCATACTAAATTATATTGAACCTCAGTGAGGACTTCATGCTTTTATCAGCAGCAGGGTGGATTACTGTAACAGCCTCCTCACTGGCCTTCCCCAAAAAGAAAGTCAGACAGTTGCAGCTCATCCACAATGCTGCAGCCAGGATTCTGACCAGAGGCAGGAAATCAGAGCACATCACACCTGTTCTCAGGTCTTTACACTGGCTCCCAGTTACATTCAGAATAGATTTTTAAGCATTATTACTGGTCTATAAATCACTAAATGGCCTAGGAGCGCAATACATTACAGATATGCTCACTGAATACAAACAGATCACTCAGATCTTTAGGATCATATAAACTAGAAATTCCAAGAGTTCAGTCAAAGCAGGGTGAATCCGCCTTCAGCGACTAACAGCGCCTCCTGCTGCTGGAATCAGCTTCCAGAAATGATCAGATGTGCTCCAACATTAGGCACGTTTAAATCAAGACTGATAACACATCTGTTTAGCTGTGCCTTTACTGAATGAGCACTGTGCTACGTACTACAGATCACACATTATGTTTTTCTTTTCTTTTTTATTATTTTATAACCTGTTTTACACATTTTTATCTGTTTTTATATGATTTATATGACCGTGTCTCCTTTATTCCTGTTTATGTAAAGCACTTTGAATTGCCACTGTCTATGAAATGTGCTATATAAATAAACTTGCCTTGCCTAAAGTTGAATAAACTGATTAGAGTTAAAAGTAGGAGAATTAAATCAAACATTTGTTTCTTCCGAGTTGTGCATGGAACAGAAACCTTTCTGTAGATAAGATATTTTAGATTGATGACTTTATAAAAAATAATAACTGTATTGTTTTGCATGACTCAGGTGGTGGCCACGTTCCAGAGGATGCGGCAGGAGCAGCGCAGCATGGCCTCCAAGGCTGCAGAGTTTGAGATGGAGATCAATGAACACAGGTCTGACCTGCTGGAAAAATACAACCTGCCCTTCTTTCACGCACCATTTCTGCTTTTACACAGTTATGTAGTTAATGTATGATAATAAGCGAAAGGGCTGCATGATATTGGAAAAATCTCACATTGGGATATTTTGTTTGGCTGCGGTATACACTCACCGGCCACTTTATTAGGTACAACTGCTTGTTAAAAAAAAATTCTAATGAGCCAATCACAAGACAGCAGCTCAATGCATTTAGGCATGTAGACATCAGGGGTGATAGCGTTCCGGCACCACGCCGGATTTCCGGCGTACTGTGGCTGCGGGGAAAAAAAAAAATCAGGTTCACGGATATTGATCTGTCATTTCTCTAGATTCACAGAATTCACTCACTGCTGAGAGCGCCGGATTGGTTTTTATTAAGTGCCATTTCGTGTGCTCGTGAATCATCTTTTGAGTGTAGACGCCATGTAAATAAAAGATTCATTGTGTAATTTAGAGAGCTTTATAAATTATAACGGATCTTTGTGAGATCTCTATGAACTAAGATTAGTGACGCTTTTTAGTGATAATAAGAGGACCGTGCTTTGCACTTTCCAGGCTATAATCCATTCAGAATTTGTATGAAACTTTCGTTTTCGGCACATATACGCTGATATGTTTTGGGAATGACATCTGCATATTTACGCTGGGTTTATTCTCGAAATAACGGTGAAGCAATAGACGGGACAAAAATATATTTCCCCCTTCTCCTTAAAGGGGTGGTCCAGAATGTAATTTTAAGGCTTGGTTGTGTTTATAAGATGCAAAGCAATGTGTGCTTATGTTTCACTTGAAGGATTGAATTGAATTTTTTCATATATCTCACTTTGATTATACACAGCTACTCAGCTAACATGAAAACGACTGTCATATTTCCTAGTTCCTCTAAAAGGCCCGCCCTTAAGTGACTCTGATTGGTCATCGACATAATGTGCTGCTATTGGCGGATCGGCTCCACGTCACGCCCGTAAAAGCACACGCTTTTCTGCTGTGTAAACATGAAGTCAACCTCGCGCCTGCTCTCTAAAATAACATCTGACAAGTGTCTGTAACTAACGAGTGAAAAAGGGGTGCGGCTCCTTTAACAGCGTCTGTGTGTGCGTCTATGTGTGTGTTTTAGGGTTGGGCATCTAAGCTATAATGCCGATCCGATACGCATCTCGATACAAAGAATACGATCCGATATATTAGCGATACATTTGTGACATATTGCGATGCAACACGATACGATTCACACCCATATCACGATACGATGCGATATTTCAGCACTAACTAATTAGATCAAGTTTATGAGATGATGTGAAAGAGGATGCTGTGCCATTGAATGAGTTTGATTATTTATTAACCAAGCAAAACCAAGACTTTTTTTACAAACTGGCTTTTCTCTCAGAGCCAGAGTGTCAGTTTACAGTAGAGGGCCATTTTAGAACATATAGCACATATTATTTAAGTATTTTCAAGATAAACAGAATGTATAAGTGCAATATATATTAAAAAAATATGTATATATTTGCACTCTTTCAACATAAATAAATTTAGCATTGCACAACAAGAATTGTGATTTAACTTTTCAACTATGAAAACAAGTTTTACAAAGATATTTTGCCACTGATTATTCAAAACTTAAGGTTGTGAACTAGCAGTGTTATGCTGCTTTGAAACATCACTGTCACTGTAAACAACAGGCTAATAAAAATATAACAAACCAGCAATCTTCTTGCTGTGAGGTGGTCAAACTACCCACTGTGCCACCGTGACACCCAATTATTTTTATCATTATTATTATTAATATTATTATTATTATTATAATTAAATAAAAATTAACAGGAGGAGGTGTTTAAAATCTTCGTTCTCCGTGACACTAGGCTGAATATCTTTGCAGATGAACAATGCAATAGCATTCGTTATTGGCGTAGAGCGAGCAGAACTGTTGCGCATGGAAAAAAAACTTGCAATGCTTTTCTCACCACTTTTGGAGCTGGTTGAAGCAGTGCGAAAGCCGGGGATGCAGAAACACTGGAAGATGCTTTCACAACAACACCGTGGCGCCGCTTCAAGTGAGATATCAGATTAGTCGTACTGCCCGCGTATTTTACAGATGCGCGGCACATTTTGCAAATTGCATCTGTCCTGTCATGTCGTCCATCCTTAAATCCATAATGTTGCTTGCCATACTTTAGATTTAAAACTCAGTGGGGAATAAAATGTTTGTTTTGCTTCTCGCGCTTTCTGAGGGCGCACCACTAGCTTCATCCGCACACCTGATACACTGAGTTGTAGTGAAAGTGTACACATCCGCAAATCCGTTGCTAAGGCTTACTTTATGTAGGTCGATTAAATTATGTGCCAAAAACAGGTTGACAACGCTTGCTAATAAATAAAAAATACATTCTATATTAAAAATATAAGCTGTATCTCGGAAAAAATCGATGCATCTCGCAAAAACCGATGCATCTCGATTTGCTTCCAAAATTTCATTCATCCTCTGCTGCTCAACCGATGCACTCGCATCGTGCACGCGCATAACCGCGTATCGATACATATCGGTTAATCTTCCCATCCCTAGTGTGTTTGTGTGGTGTGAACTTTCTGTAACAAGCGCAAGTGCGCGGGACTTTCTTTTTCTCTGATGCTCGGATTAAGTTATTTTCTGTAATATATCGCGACAGAAGAATAAAGCACAAGATGTGAGATGCTACCTGTTGAGCCTTGATTTATTATTCTGCTGCGACCACTAGTCAGGTAAGGTAATCTGTATTTTTTTTTAACTCTATGCGTTATGACGTCTTTCACGAGTATCCGGAATATGCAGGTGTAAGTAATATAAATCATCCACATATCTTTTGCGACTTCATTATCTGAGATGTGAAACACATGAAAAAGCTGCCTGAAGACAATCCGTGCAGTCGCGCACACACATAAGAGATCGTGCTGGTGGAGTGTGTGTTTACAGGAGTTTGGCTGATAAATTAGAGTTTGTAGCTAAATCGTTTGCCCGCAAAGCAGCATTTCGCATTGTTTACATCATTGCTACAGCATACCGTTAACGCTAGACACTGTACATGTCATGATCAATTTTAAAAAATAAAAACACTTACTTGTAGATCACAACTTCTGCTTTGAGGAGATTTTAGCCGAATCCAGCACTGAACTTGGAGAGATTCTGGAGCTGTTTTGTCAAATCATGCTTGCTGAGTATTTTATAATTCTCTAGTTAATTAATATTGAACTATAGGCACTTCTGTCTTTGTGTTGTGTCTTTTGGAAGCCCAAATACAGAAACAGATGAAGCTCTGTGGAAACAGCCGTGTTTAGATGCATTTTTAGCTTAATCTCTGCTATAACGTTACAGCACCTCTGGCCACGGCCCTTACCTGCATGCGCAGTGTGGGATGCGCAGTAAACGAACTTGTGATGTCACAGGGGGCGGAAGTATTTCTTTGTAGTCCCCAAAATTTGTTCATTGTAGGCTTTGCTAAGCTAACTCTGTAAAAACCAAGGTCTCTCTTAGCATTGAACTTAGAACTTTTTACATTTAGAGATGCTGTTTATTTTCACACAGCTACATTACACATCGACTAAAGTTTAAAATATGAGATCGTAGTGGACCACCCCTTTAAACAACTTAGTGTTTCAGCTATGAAATAGTTCAGTTTTGTATGTAGCCTAATGGCAAAGTGTTTATATTTAGTTTCGTTTTTTATTCAGCTTATTTAGAAAAACGTTTGGAGCATTTTTTATTCGTTAAAAATAAGTTTTTTTTTGTTTTTTTTAACGAACAGCGCCCAGCGGAAGACCATCATTGTCTGTTTGATCAGTTTGCCTTTTCAGATCATCACGACTTGCCTAAAATAAAAGATATAAAACAGTTCAAGTATAAAACAATGGTAGCTTAAACGTTAAAGAATGTGTGCTATTAGGCGCATAGTTTGCTTATAAAAAGCTTGCAGGACATCGCGGCGCCAGAGCAATCACTTGCATTTTTTCAGTGGGAGCAATTTAAAGTTATCCGTCATTTTAGCTCACAAAGTACGAGTAATACATCAAAAAACGTTACAGCGTTTTTATAAAATAAAGAAAACCAAAATTATGGGCTTTCTGTCGTCTGGTTTTTGAACAGGAGCGCTTAACAAAATGAAGCAAAATGTATATGCCTCACAGACATAATAAATATATTTATAGAAAGCTTTAAATTATTACTTAACGAAATAAAACAAATCGAAAACAAAAAAACTCCTTCATGTAATCCGTAAAGATGAATTTCTCTCTAAAGGCGAGTCCAAGAGGAGATTGCCAGTCAGGATCTTTGCGACTCAGAATAAGTTTATTAATAAATAATTATGATATGATCCTTACTCTTTCCTCGACACATTCATGGTTATTTGTTTTTGCCGGTGCTTGGGGCGAGTTTTAGCTTATTGTGTGCGCTTGAACGCGGTTTCACAGTAGCAGTTTTAACATGGAGTGACACGACATCTGACGTACAGATGACACTGGCACATGCCACTGAGTGTAGTGACACTTCCGGTGGCAAAACCATATTTAATCATTACGCGACTTTTAACCTAATTTATCGCGTCGCAAGTTAGTTTATTTGCTGAGCTACTCTTTTAATTTAAACGCATTTATTTTATGTATTCGTAGTCATACTTCCGTACGTAATATAGTCATTTGACAGTACATGTCAGTCAAATTTATTGTGGCATGCTTATGTACGGGAGGGGTTACACTTATCTGTTGTACTGTATATTATTGCATCCTGGCAGTTCCTTTGTTCCCTACAATATGGACTTCTCTATGTTTTTAATTCATTCATTTATTTTATTATTTAACTTATTTTCATTTTAAGGTATTTTAAATAATATCCTTTAAAAAGTTATAATAAAATGCATGTTGATAACTCATAACATATATGCATGTAAGATAACAGGTGTCATTTGTCTAATGATTTTTAAATATTAAAGCAAAGAGACTTATAAGATTAATGTGCTTATAACGTGCTTATACTGACACCTACTGGCACATGTCACAAGATCACTGACACTGGCATGTGTCACTGACATTACTGGCATGTGTCTAAAAAGAGCCACTTGACAATAATGATGATCAGGGTTACACATAGGCTGTTAATATATTTGGGCCCAGGGGCCCATAAGTTATGTGTTAAAAGTGTGTTGCATACATAGTACCCCCACCCCTACTCACCTCAGGGGCAAGGAAAAAAAGTTCAGGCTCAGGAATTTTTTCCACTATCAGCCCTGAGACATGGTCAAGACGATCTGCTGCAGTTCAAACTGAGCATCAGAATAGGGAAGAAAGGTGATTTAAGTGACTTTGAACATGGCGTGGTTGTTGGTGCCAGACGGGCTGCTCTGAGTATTTCAGAAACTGCTGATCTATATGGAAAATGTCCAGTGAGCGGCAGTTCTGTGGGCGCAAATGCCTTGTTGATGTCAGAGGAGAATGGCCAGACTGGTTCCAGCTGATAGAAAGGCAACAGTAACTCAAATAAGCACTCGCTACAACCACACCGGGTGCCACTCCTGTCAGCTAACAAGAGGAAACTGAGGCTACAATTCACACAGGCTCACCAAAACTGCACAATAGAAGAATGGAGAAACGTTGCCTGGTTTGATGAATCTCAATTTCTGCTGCAACATTCAGATGGTAGGGTGAGAATTTGGTGTTAACAACATGAAGGCATGGATCCATCCTGCCTTGTATCAATGGTTTACCCTGGTGGTGGTGTTCTAATGGTCCAACCCGGTACTAGTAAGTACCTACTAAGGTGTACCTAATAAAGTGGCCGGCGAGTGTATATTGTGATATGAATATAATTTTACCAAATGATTTGAACAGCTCTATTTGGAAAGATTTCAGTAATTTAGATTGGCAGTGATGGTCAAGTCTTTTCTGCAGTGCATCTGCATGCAATATAATAAATAATAAGCGTATGTAAATAAGACAGAGCATAAATAAATGAATAAACAGTGCTTTATGGCATTCTGGGGAGTCTTAACCGTATTCAAATACAGAAATGGAACAGTATATTAGAAGGTAAAATAACATAGTCATTATTGTACTGCAATAATATTCATGTTTAAATTTTTAATAAATAATCTAATTCTGCGATGTCATTATTGCACATATCAATGCTCAAACAATATATTGCTCAGCCCTAATGAGTGAAACAAAGTGACAATGAGCGATATGTAGTGAACGATATGACTAAAATCTCATATCACAATATTCGTCCTCTCATATCCTGACAACTATATACAGTAGTCAACATTTGAAGTGGTTCGAAAACCTTTCTTGTTCATTCTTCTCATAGGACAAGTTTGACAAACATTTTATGATCCAAATGTTGACTACTGTATTTTAGGGTTGAGTCCATAGACGATGCCATTGTCCACCGTCAGTGGCTGATAGACATCACAATGCTGAGCCGGCATCGTGATCCTCCCTCCAGCCCCGTTGCAGCAGCTGCAACCCGCTCTTGAAAAATACACACTCAGGCCCCGTTTACACTAATACGTCTTAGTTAAAATGGCATCCACATCCACACTGGCGTTTCATCTAGCATTTCTGAACAGACTCCTTTCACACTATACTGCTGAAAACGCACATCACGTGACCACACACAAACACACACACACACTCTGTCATGCGCTGCAGCATATGCGCACGTCTGAGCTTTTGCAGTCAGTGGGAGCGTTGAGCACAAAACCCCAGAGAGCAGTGCACGCCGGACAGTTTATCAAGGATGTAGCACTGGATGGCGTCTCACTTTAGTTGTTAATCGAGATATTTAAAGGGCCATGAAACCCCCTTGTTTCAGCAGTGTGTTTTCACACCTCTACTTTGGAAAAAGTCAGAAAAGTGGGCGTGTCCAGCTCTGTTTAGAGGGGAGTGTCGGAGGAAGAAAAGCGGCTTGGTGTGGGAGTGTCTATTTGGGCGCGCTGAATTTCAGAGTCAAAACACACACCCACAGCGGACAATGTGACTGTGTTTACATGGACATCTGTAGTCAAATTATTTGCCAAATTATTAAATGGTGGACTTTAACTGCAGTTTGGCTCTTTCATTCAGGGAATTCATTCATGTCCCTCCCGACAAACGTGATATTTGATTCGAGGATCTGCTGTAAGCGTGTATTTTTCATGCAATGTTTGATACCGCACGGCGAATGAGAGAAAAAAAAAAACTCAGCATTTCCCGGAAACTTAGATGCACACGGCAGGTAGCGTCAAAAAGCCGCGTGTGTTATTCCGGTCACTAAATCCAACACGAGGTTATAGTTTGGTTGTAACTGTTAGTGCTAACTATTGCACTCGGTGCAATAGTTTGTTTGATACGAATAAAATACGAACTGAATAAACAAAGAGCACTGGTCGCTCACTTACCAAATCTGTAGAGACAGGACAATCCACAGCAACTAGAGCCGCGTCTTTATTTAGAGAAGACTACAAGCGAATCCGTATCTCAGCGTTTGCAGATGAGAACAGCTCTCAGGTAAACAATAATCCTCCTTGGACACGTAAGTTATTGTTGTCGAGCGTCGCGTACACTGTTAATCCACACGTGACTCTGCGCTCTCACAGAGAGAAAATGAAAACGAAACTTAACTGCAGCAAACTATAAAAGCAACACTTCACGCTTGTTTTGCCAACACAACGTGGCGTCTCTGCCGTCTACACTGTGACAGTAATGAATATTAATGAAGTTGCACAATAGAGCGCGCTGATTGGTTTGAATCAAGCCTTACTCATGCATTAATGCATCACACTGTAAGACGTAATAAGACACACTCTGGCACAGACGCCCAGTCTGCACGCTGGAATACACGCTATTATGTCATGACCGTGACGCAGCTTCAAAAATTCGTTTTAAACCGGAAGTACGAATTTGCTTGAAATAACGCAAAAACAACCAATTTACACTTTTTAGTGAAATATAGGTGTCCTAATAGTGTTTATAGCAGTGCGGGACACATATACGACTGTCAACAGCTCAAAACATGTGTTTTGGTGTTTCGTGACCCTTTAATCAATCTTGTCTCTGTCTAATGACCCTTTGGTCTTTTGAATCTATCAGGTAACGTGTCACACTGCTTTCAGTTTCACGCTTGTACTTAGTCATTTTAGTGAATACCTCAGATACTGTTGGTTGGTTCCTGTTGGTTGTGCACCTTTTTTTACCAACCAAGTTTGTCGTTATTATCTAATTAATTAATTATTCATAAGTTGCCTATGACGACGATGCCCTCGTCCATCGCCATGTTTCACATTAGACATCTTACAATGCCAAATTGGTCAACGTCGCCCAATTCCACTGTATATCACGATATACTACAATGTACAGATGAATTGTTCACCACAAAACTAGCAGTGTGAGCTAACAAAATCAACAGGGTTAGTTTTGATTTCATGTGTACTTCAATGTAAGAGAGGGTATTAATATGCAGTTGCTATGGAAGCCCTCAGCATGATGTCATCAGAGAAGGAAGCCTTGAAGCAGATGCTCAGACTCTGATTGAAGATCAGAACAAACACATTTTTTTTTCCCAGTGAATTAACTTAATTATTCACCTTAAAAATAACAATATGAGCCAGCAACATAAACATTGTAAATTTTAATTTAATGCGGACATCAAGCTTTTATTTTTATATATTGTGCAACCCTAATTGTCATGGCATCTGTGATTCGTATCACACATTATAATAAATAATAACGTTTAAAGCACTAATACTTACACTTTGAAGCTGTTCTTGAATAACAGACTCTTCCTCTTCTAAAACATTGACTTCCTGTTTTGCAGCCTCGTCATCGACACACTAAAGGAAGTAGACCCCTCACGCAAGTGCTTTCGTTTAGTTGGCGGTGTACTTGTAGAGAGAACCGTCAAAGAAGTCCTGCCTGCGCTAGAAAACAACAAAGAACAGGTACAAAACTTCAGCCGGACTCACAGATATTTTCTCTGTGCATTGTATGTGATCATTACTAATGCTGTGAAACAATTCATCATGATTTAATGCAGGGGTCACCAATCTCGGTCCTGGAGGGCCGGTGTCCCTGCAGGGTTTAGCTCCAACTTGCTTCAACACACCTGCCTGGATGTTTCAAGTATGCATAGTAAGAGCTTGATTAGCTGTTCAGGTGTGTTTGATTAGGGTTGGAGGTAAGATCTGCAGGACACCGGCCCTCCAGGAACGAGTTTGGTGACCCCTGATTTAATGCATCCAGAATAAAAGTTTTCTATGTTTATATTATTTATAAATGCATATGCAGCATAAATGAGTACAACCCTCACAAATCTCTTTTACATTGTTACGACCCTTGATGGAAATATTCAATTCAGTTCAGCTTTATTTGTATAGCGCTTTTAAAATGTAGATTGTGTCAAAGCAGCTTCACATAAATGGTCATAG